ATAGTACAGTATAGCAATATAGAAGCTTATGTATTACTACAATCCCGCGATTAAAGAGTGTAAGAGTAAGATAGGGATTTTATTTTTTTACACAAGAGTATCGACTATGAAACGGATTTATTTTCCATTTCTACCCTCGAAAGAACTCCTACCGCTAAGTATATTCGCCGCATTCGCTTCTCGTTATCAATAAATATACCATCAAATTTAATGTCGTTTATTTATATTCTGTTTCTCTTATGTTTTGTACACACTTCTTTGAGCACCTCTATGTAACATCGATTTCACGATAACAGGGTTGAGCTTGAATCGAGACGATTCCCTCGATTCTAACTATCGGCGAGGCTCGAGAAATTCGCTATAGGAGTAGCCGCTCTGCTGGCGTTTAAGGCAATGACATATTCGCGAAAGAAAAGCGAGAAAACGTCATACGGGAGTATGACAGTCGTTTTAAAAGATTAAATTGTATAAAAATTGAAAACATGGCGATAAAAAGATCGATGTTCCAATTAAGTAAGGTGTAACCATCATTTTTGCAGCAAGGATAACATAGATATAAATAATAATGATGTCAAGTTGATAATTATATAGAATTCAGAGCAGAGTTCAATAATTTTATGAAATCATTATCTTTAGCAGAGATCGTTATTAAGATTGATCACAGGAAAACTTTTTGCGTCCCTTCTCCTTATAATTAACTTTAAATTATACGGTGCTCATTACATCGCATTGTCCTATTTGAAAAGGGAAGGTATATTTATAATTTTAATAAATCTTTTTTTAATTGTCTTTCTACAAGATTTTGTTCTATAGTCATAATCACTATGTTTAAACGGGCTAAAAAAATAAATTACCGGGAACAAATTTTCCACATGACTCTTTTCATGTCGTCGAGTAACAATTTGCGTTAAAAAAATTGACTATAGGTAATCTTTTAACGAACCGACGCAATTCCCACAACGAACCCTCGCCGTTCGCTAATTATGACTATAGCCACCGACCGTTTTTCTTTAATCGGCGCTTTACAGCTGTTCAATTTCTACGCGCGTCTACAAATCGTGAGAAAACAAATGGATATGCTCCCTTTCGATCGTTCGCTCCCTTTTAAAACTCCGGTTTTTCATAATGGCATTTAAGTCCGACGAGCACAGTCTTTCTCTATACACGCTTGAATTATGAGTTGTGACTATATACAGGATGTCCCATACCGACGGTAAAATCAAAAGCAATACGATCCTCTTTACAAAAAAATAAAGTCTATGCAATTAAATATTGCGAATTATTTGAATATGGGATTGCTAAATATTGACTATATTAAGTATTGCTTGAATGTAAATTAAATTGCAAATACATAAGCTGCTCTTTATCGTTCATTACATACGGAAGATAAAAATGAAGTTTACAATGCGTGAGCATTCAAATAGCGCAGCCTTTAAATCGCCTAAATAGTACAATAAATAATTTGCAAAAATAGAACTCTTGTACAAAATTATTGATGCCGATTATTAATTCCTTCTTTATTGGCTCCTAATAATTGGCTCCTAATAACTGTCTCATTAAACAAATTAATTAATGAAATTTGTAAAAAGAAAGAATGATTTGAAACAGATTGAAAATAAATGGACATAATGAGCAATTTCTGTAGAATAGAACAAAATGGCAACCCTTTAACATTGTTGTATTGTGTCCTATTTTCTTGTTTTTTTAAGTATCGGGAATTGCTTTAGGCTTTACCTCTACTAGTGAGGACGTTCTGTTTACGTGTACGTATAATATATAAATGTATATTATGCATATATATTACCACGATCCGGAAGTTTAAGTGTATCGACTAATAACTATACCCGCGAGACTACCTTAAATAAAATAGCTTGTCGTTCTTTTACAAATCAAAATGAAAATTGCACATGTTTTAGTTTTTATACTCGTAACATATGAATATCAATCGTTGTATCGAATCGTTATACTAGCATAATAATAATAATAATAATAAATAATAAATATAATAATATAATATTAATATTACAATGACAATAAAATAGGACGAAATTGTCAAGAAGTTAGTACGTGATACAGGAAAAATGTAAAGACGAAATAGCTCCAAAATAAAAATCTGAAAGAAGTATTTATATAACTTCAATATCTTGACAATCCGTGAATAATAAATACAGGAACAAATAATTATGACACCATGACTATGGGATCGAGGAAGTAACAATATTTCTACTATATAAAGAAATAAGCACAGAACGAAGAATACGGTACAAACGAATGATACAATAAGCGAATAAACGATGACGAACGAAACAGCCAAAGAAAATTAGGGAAATTTGAGACTTACGCAAGTTTTCAAGCGAGCGGTGCGTAATATTGCAGATTTTTTCGTTGTATGCTATGCAAATAAATTAGTATTGCTTAATCGTTTATTGTTCTATAGCCGTATATTTATATGCTTATATATGCATTAATAGCAGCGTGGCGTATTTATTAGCAGCTAATGCTGCGCGAGATGGAATTTAAAAAAATTGAACAAAGCTCCACTGCGCGTCAAGCATCGGCCGATCTTAGACACGATTCGGTCCGAAGAACAAGCTACGCGAAAAATATTGTTCATTCTGTTCTCCTTTTGGCGGCAAAGTTTCTTTCTACTGTACATGCAAAATATGTTATCGCTTCTCGATAATATGATCATTGCAAAAAAAATGATCGGACATATTGCCCGCATGCTCATCGGCTGTAATAATTATTTTAGTGTAATTATTTTTTCTGCTGGGCGACGTGAAGCGTGATCCACACCCCACTGGTTGCGTTTATAGTGTGATTATATTCTCTCTCTCTCTCTCTTTCTCGTTTAATGAAAAATGTGTAAAATTATTTAAGTTCGCGATTAAATGCATAGCAATACACTAATCGATTTTATTTCATTTTGAAATATAAAAAGTCAATTAATTGTTATGGATAAATTAATAATTATCTTTTATACAATTCCACAACTATGGCGCAACATTACTATACGATGATTGAATTATGAATGAATATAATAAATTTATTCCGATAACGTAATAATTACAAGTATGTAGACCAATATATTTGATATATATTCATCATACAAACATCATTAATAACTTTTTCATGAACATGATTAAATACCCAATGCAGCACGATTTATGTAATTAGTAGAATAGCTGAATTGAATTTATTAGTTTTGCTTGTATAAAATTATCAATTGATATCAATATATAGGAGCAATCCATATTATTATCGCAAATAGTATAGAGATTTTTTAATATAATAATATAATATTATATTATACGATAAAACATAATGTTAAAAAGTACCTTGTCAAGTGAATTAAAAGGAACAATTTAAAAATTGCAAAAGCAAATCATTACTATTTAAAAATATCAATACTGATTTGATATTTAAGATCCTCTATCTTCAACAGAAAAAATAGACCAGGGGGTGTGGATTGGGCGATCATTTTCCATCATGCCTAAGCATATCGTCGGTTCTTGCTCGAGACTTTATTAAACTTCGATGTGTTCGCCTCTATATGTATAATTATATAATTCGTTGTGTCGAAACATTGCTTTGACCGTACGTGTCGTCATATTTTTTTTTCTTATATTGCTTCTATAAAATATGTGTATAACAATGTTACGCATCTATTACTCGAATTTTGCTCTAAATACTTGGATGTACGTGTGAGTCTCTGTTTATACGATACCATACGCGTGCTTGCGCGCCCACGATCGCAGTCGATTCGCGCGAGCGACTACCCCCGCGATACCTCGCGCATCATTTTTCGCTATCGATTCAATATCACGACATAGCCGCTCGTTTCATGACTGAAAATGTGCGCGTGTTACCAGTTACACGTAGCGCGTAAATCGCATATTCGTGCGAAATACGCAGGTGTGCGTCGATGATTTAGCTCGTGAAAAATGAGGAAGGATAAAGATTTCCATCAAGGTTCAGCCCATATCTTCTGTAAGAATACTCGTTCATTTGTCGAAGACATAACTTCGACCATGTACACTCGTTGGTTACCGTACTTATCGATTAGCTATAGCTTTCATCGTTCTCTATCTCAATGACTCGAACTCAATGAAATATTAAAAAGAACGTCTACTGCGAATGACCGTTAACCCCCTTTTTCTTAAACTCTTAAACAATTTTAAGCGCAAGAATCTTCAAACAACCACATTAGCATTGTTATATCAAGTATAGGAATTGCAATTATTGGAATTATGTAGCCAATATTTGGAAATATTTGACTCAACCCAAGTAATGTTGTTTGAAGTTACTTAAATTATTGATCAACTGCAACAGATGGGATAATCGATTCCGTTTAGTTTTGTTATTCTTTCAAAATATATGTCCAATTAGCAATTATTCCAAGGATTAGTTCTGTACTAACAATTTCCTAACTGAAAATTAATTTTAATCAATAATTGATTGCGAATTATGAAGTCATCGATCACACCTGCGCGTTTCGATGTACGGTGGTCGATCTCGATCGCAATAAGAGGGATCGAAACCGCGCCGTGATCGAGATTCGACGAGTGCGGCTCATGAACCGCGGTTATGGATCCGTCATCGGTCTGGCGAATTCTAGATCTCTTATTTTACTCCCCGTTTTAATTTAGGCAGCTAAATATTAATAAATAATGTCTTCGTAACGAGCTTCGCGGACTAGAATCGTACGCGCTAGTAAATATATATACTATATATATAATAATATAATATAATAATATAATATTATATAATGTAATAGGTATATAATCGACTAGAGTGACTAGACTCTGCAGTGTGGACGTCATCGTTCGACGTATTTTTTTTTTACGACTTAACATTACTGGACGTTTTTATTAATGTTAGACATTATTAATAAACTCACGCTCTCCCTCTCTCTTGCTCTCTTTCTTTTCTTTTAATTTTCCATTCGTCTCTCCTTTTCACGCTTGTTCTCTCTCTCTCTCTCTCGCTCTCGCTCTCTCTTTCTCTCCGTCTCAGTTTCTCTTTCTCTTTCTGTCTCCCTCTCTAGTTCTCGTTTCTGTCTCTACTGGCACTTTTCTACTTAAAATCTACGGGCAAACCTTATATCCTCTTCTCTGCTCTTCGTACCCTCGCGCCTCTTCGCGATCAAGCGGCGATTATAGGGCACCGCTAGCTCTCTCTCGAGCCTTCGATCATCGTGGCGTCGTTGTTCTCCTTCTCGAAGCGCTGCTACAAGCCTCGATTGGTGTTCTGTTGCTGCGTGGCGTTGTTATCGGCATGCTGCGGCTGCTGTTGCTGCATCTCCTCGTCGCGCAGACACGCCGATTCTAGGTGTTTGTTCAAATAAGACTTGAGGGCAAAGGTCTTGTGGCACCTCGAGCACTCGTAGTTCTTGTCAGCCGAGTGTGTCTGCATGTGCGCCCTTAGATTCGAGCGATCGGCGAATGCCTTGCCGCAGTGAGCGCATCCGTACGGCTTCTCACCAGTGTGGCTGCGCAAGTGACCCTGCAGTAGCCAAGGTCGCGAGAACATCTTGCCGCAGACGCCGCAACTGTGGGCGAGCTTGTGCGTGAGCACGTGCATCGCTAGGGCGGGCATGCTGACGTACGCCTTGCCGCAGTGAATGCACTTTTTGGCCGATTGGGAATCGAGACTGCGATGCGTCTGCTTGTGCCGCGACAGGTTCGATGACGTAGCGTATTGCTTGCCGCACTCGGTGCACGTAAATTTCGGCCTGTCCGGTTGGGCGGCCTCTTTATCGGGCACGGCGGCACCATTGTTGTTACCGCCGCGTCGTTTCGATCGGCCATCGGACACGAAGAAGGCCTCGTAGGTGTAAGCGACAGTCTTGCTGCTGGTGGTGGTGCTGTTGAAAGGCGGATTTAGTTATGATGATTCTCGGATGATAAGGATTCAGACACAATGAAAAAAACAAGGAATAGCAGATTTCGATCTATGAGAACCTGTATTCCATGTATTTTAAAACTATGTATTCCGATGTATTCAGTTTTTGGTAAGTTGAAATCTATTATTTCTTGTTCCTTATGCCTTATTATTCTTTTCATTGTATCTGAGTCCTAAAGCTTTCGGAACACACTGTTCAAGTTGACAGATTCGAATGTTTTGCTAGATATAAGAACATTAAAACTTGAAAACGAATTTTATTGTCTCTTTATTTTTTTTAGAACATATTACATCTTCAAACATTGAATATAAAATTATTTACATTAGATATAAAATCTACGTCGTAATCTCAACATTTTATATTATATATTATATTTTCTACAAATAATAGTAAACAGATTAATATAAATAATAGTATTAAAATAAATAATAGTATTTCTTTTTTAAAGTGCCGACGTTAAATGTTACTGTTAGGGAAAAGATAAAAGGGAGTTACATTGTTGAAGCGTGAGACTTACCTGTCCCTGCCGACGTTGCTTCCGCCAGTGGCTTCCGCGGTCGCAGGCGACTGCGGCTGCGGTGGCGTTTGCTCCTGTTGGCGTAGTTGATTGGTCTGCGAGCTAGGCACCGGCACGAGCACAGAGACCGGTATAGACTGTATACCCGTCGTTGGCGCTGGTTGTAGCTGTTGTTGTTGTTGTTGTTGTTGGTCCTG